ATGTGTCTGGGCACATCAGAGATTCGTCCTAGTGATTTCTTTACAGCAAGATGCACATAAAGCCAAGCAGAAATGCAAAACTCTAGGACGCTTGGTTTGGAGATGACACCTTTTATTAGACCAACTAATAAAGCCAAGCAGTGTCTCTTGGCTTTATGTACAGCAGGGTGCACATACATAAAGCTGAGTGCCAGCCCCCTTCCACAGCGGTCAGCCAGGTTTGGGCATCTCCTTGGCTCCCAGCCGACGGGGCAGAGGAGAGCCTGCAGCCCTGAATCTCAGTGCCGCTGGAGAGCTGCCAATCTAGGTTAGCTCTGAATCCAGCTGTTCAGAAAGCAGGACCATAGAATCATAGATTCATAGATGTTAGGGTCGGAAGGGACCTCAATAGATCATCGAGTCCGACCCCCTGCATAAGCAGGAAAGAGTGCTGGGTCTAGATGACCCCAGCTAGATACTCATCTAACCTCCTCTTGAAGACCCCCAGGGTAGGGGAGAGCACCACCTCCCTTGGGAGCCCGTTCCAGACCCTGGCCACTCGAACTGTGAAGAAGTTCTTCCTAATGTCCAGTCTAAATCTGCTCTCTGCTAGCTTGTGGCCATTATTTCTTGTAACCCTCGGGGGCGCCTTGGTGAATAAAACCTCACCAATTCCCTAATTCCAGGCAAAGGCAGATCTGCGCAGAGGCAGAGAAGGAGAGTGGCAGAGGGCAGCAGAGAGCAGAGGAACTGCACTGGCTTTCTCTTGATAATCAGCTGCAAGGGTCAGCCCCACTCTGCCCTTGCCCTGTCTGGGAGAAGGAGAAACCATCCCGTCATGCAGAGAGATTACGCCTCTGTTTTATCTCAGCTTATCTGCTTTCAGCCAAAGCCTCCTGCTGTGTGCAACAAGGCAGTTTCCAGCTAGCGTTTCCCTTTGCAAGGCTCCGCATAGCACTGTCTGCATCCAAACTGGACCCTCCGAGCAGCTGCTGCGCCTTAGAGGGCTTGCTGATAGCCCAGGCAAGAGATGTGGATGGAGCAAGAGGTAGAGCCTGCCCTGAAGTTAACTGCCAGTCACCCTGGACTCCTAGCTTAGTTTCCAATGAATTATTCACTTTGAGCAGCAGGGATAGCAGGGGATCATCTTTTAGCTGCTTATTCCTCCAGAGCATCTGAGTTCAGCTGAATCAAGGCGGATGGCTGCGTGAGAAAGGCATGAGACCAATGGATCCTTTCAGGGCTCTGCCACAGACTCCTTGTGTTACTGTGGGCAAGTCACTTAGTCTCTCTCTGCCTCAGATCCCTATTTATACTAATATACAGGGTGCGTGAGGATAAATATTTGTGAGGCTAGTTGCTCAGCACGGAAATGAGGGATAGGCGTGTCCCCAGGCAAGCAGGTAGAGTAACAGAGAAACCAAAGACCTGTGCATTGAACCATGAGTGTCATGTATGCACTTTGCAGAGTTTGCTTCATTTGTAAAGAAGTTTCTATAACAGAACAGAGCCCATTTATGGCCGAGGAGTGCCTCTGTGCAGCCCAGACTTAAGTCCGCCTGTGAAACCTGCTGGAGTTCAGTGGAACAACTCCTCACCAACTCCCGTCAAGCCCCTTGTTGCTCCAAGAAGTTGAAGGAACAAATGAAATCAAGCGCTCACTGTGTCCTCTAGCATAGCCATGCTCTCGGAGAGGATTTTGGTATTCCCAGCCCAGCAGCCACCTATCTCAGATCATAAAATGTTTTCAGTATGATTGTGGGAAATTCAGAGATTCGTCCTAGTGATTTCTTCCTCCTCATCCCTGCAGGGCTCGCCCATGGGGGATAAGGAGGGCAACAAAGCGCTTCAAGCCTAGTGCAAGTTAACTCATGGATATTCTGAGTTGCATTAGCTCGTCTCCCAAAACGTCCTGTCCCTGGGTCACTTTGCATCAATGTAAATTAGGAGGAAGGTCATGGCCGTCGGTGGATGTACATCAACACAAACTGATGTCATGGAGAGAAGGATGAGATTCGTAACTGGTGTAAATCTGTGGCCTGCTTGCAGCCATTTATGCCAGCCGAGAATCTGTTCTGCAGGAGGCTCTTCGGTAGCTCTCCAGCGCTTTTATTTACGCTGTGGTTCATACCTTGGGAAGCCAATGATTTTTGCAGGATTATGTCTACCAATTATGATCGTTCCAAGCAAGACTCTCAAAGGTATTAACATTCAAGGCAAAGACTTTCAAAAGCATGGAGAGCAGTCACAGGTCCAGTTCCCCCTGCAAGTCAGTGCGTATTGGGGGCTTCATCCAGAGTCGAAGGTGAACTAGATCACCTCTGAGGTCCCTTCCGGCCCAATGCCCAATGAGCAGTAACTAAAATAAATGACCCAGGGGGAGCAAGGAAAACATTTAAGCTGCTTTTTGTTCTTATTGTTGCCGACCTTTTGCATTTCAGCTGGGACAAGGGAATAGGCAAGGGTTTCACTCAATTAGTTGCCAATCAGTTCTACTCCTGTACTACAAAAAGTAAAGTGTGAATTCCAAACACCACAGGGAAATACATTCAGACAAAGATACCAACTTGGGGTTTAGTATTTTGTCGAAACCAAAAATGAGAGATCTTTCTCTTGGCTTTAAACTTAGGAACATTTCATTTCCACAGCACCTAAATTTGGCTCCTCTAAAGTATTATTGCCGTTGCAATATTATTATTATTGCCATTGCAATATTTGTTTAATTTTTGCGAACAGAATTTCATCCGTATTACTATGTACATGTAAGGATTTGGGATCAGAGCGTCACTTTTGGAAGCATTTTATCATTTCAATCATCTCATCTACCGCTGCAAACTTTTTTTTTTCTTCTTGACACTGCTGCTCTGTTACGTGCTACTTCTAGTGTAGCGCGTTTTTTTTAATTACTCCACTTAGCACCTCACATTGAGACCGCCGGGATTTGGAAAGCTTGTATTTATAACACACACATTTTTACTAAAAAGAAAACCCTCAGCTACTCTTTTTCTCACTGCTTATTTTTACCTTGGGTTTAAACTAGGACACTTTTTTCCCATTTGATATCTCACAAGTGCTGCTGGCCATTTGTGTGAGTGGCCAAGCTGCAGCAATGCAGAGAATTTGTGCTGGTGTTGTTCTTGTGTTCCTATATTGCATTTCCACTTTCAGGGGCATTAATCTTCCTTCTCTGCAAGGAATATTCTTCAGGGGACATATTTAGGCAAAGGCAAATATTGGTGCCCTTGACATGACCGCAGGGTGCTGGGTTCACACTATAGCTGCTCAGTTGCTGGTGCAGTGAGAAGAGTATGGATGTGACTTAATAAGCAGCTTTTCCTCCAAAAAACACCTACTTTCTTGTCCCTGCTCTTTGCTCTGCCTCCACATCACAAGGTGCAGCACAGCCCTTTGATGGGGAGGCGGGTGGAACATGAGCCCCAAAGGCCTGCACACGGGATCCTGGCTCTGTGCTTATGTCTGGGTTAGAGGCTAAGGATTCAGGGCCAAGTATTAGTGAGGCCAAGAGGGATGTCAGGGACGGATGAGGCAGGCTCCCTGCACCAAGTACCTCAGAAGCCACCCTGGCAGTAGGCCTCCGCTACCAAACCCAGCCCCAGTTTAGGGGCAGTTCTGCTGCAAACCTCCTGGCTCCTGCACTCTGGGTTTCCTGCTTCCTGATCCACTTTGTTGGCTTATTTCTGGACTTCAGTTTTGGATTTCCCTGCAGATGTGTTTCCCAGCTCCTGACCCTGGATCCACTCCATTCTCAGACCTCGCCCTGTGGACCGTCCCCCCCAGGGACCGTCCCCCCCAGGGACCGTCCCCCCAGATCGGCACTGGGCTTTTGAGACCGGGTCCTCACCCTGTCTGCGCTGTGGACTCTTCCCCCAGATTTCCCTCTGGTTTCAGTAATTTGTCTCCCACCCTCTGACCCAGCCCCAGGCCCGGGCTGCCTCGTGGTGCTCTAACCATTAGGCCAGGTCCCTTACAAGGGATGAGGGGCTGTGTCGTGGCTCCTCCAGGAATCTGCATGGCTGCCTGCCTGCCCGTGCTCTCCATCCCTCTTTCGTCATCCATCCATTCATCCACCCACCCACCCATCCATAGGTTCATAGTTGTAGGGTCGGAAGGAACCTGAGCAGATCATCAAGTCCGACCCCCTGCCATGGCAGGAAAGAGCACTGGGGTCAAACGACCCCGGCAAGGTGTTCATCCAGCCTCCTCTTAAAGACCCCCAGGGTCCCTTGCCTTGTCCATTCAATCTGTCCCTTCTTCTCTCCACCCATCCATTCATTCCTCCATCCCTTCTTCCCTCGCCTTGCCTTGTCCATCCCACCCCTCCCTCCTTCTCTCTCTCCATCCATCCATCCCTCCCTTCGCTCGCCATCCAACCCTCCCTCCATCCCTCCATCCCTTCTCTCTCTGCATTCATCCATCAATCCCTCCATCCCTCTTTCTCTCTCTCCATCCATCCCTCCACCCCTCTCTTCTCCTCTCTCCATCCATCCCTCCCTCCATCCAGCCCTTCTCTCTCTGCATTCATCCATCAATCCCTCCATCCCTCTTTCTCTCTCTCCATCCATCCCTCCCTCCCTTCTCCTCTCTCCATCCATCCCTCCCTCCATCCAGCCCTTCTCTCTCTGCATTCATCCATCAATCCCTCCATCCCTCCTCCTCTCTCTCCATCCATCCATCTCTCCCTTCTTCTCTCTCCATGTATCCTTCCCTCCTTCTCGCTCTCCATCCATCCCTTCTCCCTCTGCATTCATCCATCAATCCCTCCATCCTTCTCTCTCCATTCATCTCTGCCTTCTTCTCTCTCCATCAATCCCTTCCTCCATCCCCTCTCCCCCATTCACCCCACCCCCTTTCCCACGTGACCCGCCCCATTCATCCCTTCCCACACACACACACAACCCGCCCCCTCTCCCCTGATTGGCCGAGGCGGCAGCCCCGCGGCGTGACGCG